GAGAGCATGTCTATGGATATATCGTCAAGGAATGGGCATTTCAGATATGTTGCTATGTGGTATGTATGGAAACTATCTCTGAACTTTGCACAAGAATGTTAAATATTTTGATGGCACAGTTTGTCAAGCAGTTGTCAATACATAGTACATGTAAAACAATGCTAGATCTTGTCAATATACACTTCACATACACATGTTAAAGACACGCAGCGGTTATTTAAAGACTCTTTGTTATTTCTCTGCCCTGACAGTTACCTTATTTGACGTAATAAGCGCCCCGCTCTAATAAGCACCCTCGGCGATATTTGCTAATATATTGGCTAGTGAACAATCCCAATTAGCACCCCTTCCAATTGATCAATGTACACAAGACTTATTTATTCTCGTATAATATGTGTGTTATATGCATCCTTAATCATGGGAAATTAAATTCTGGAAAAATATATCTGTCATATATAAACATTTCAGGCTGTCAGCATATAAACCACGAAATTTACAATTTTTCAATTCTGTTTTTCATCAAAATAATATTCTAATAAGAGCCCCCTATTTCTAATTTTGAGAGCGCCCTGGGTACTTCTTATGTCCAATACGGTATGTAAATAATTTGCATCATGAGACTTGGCGCAAAAGATTCAGTGCAGTCTACCCTTGTTTAAAGAGCAAAACATACAACACTGTTTCTTTTTGTTCTTTTTTAAAACAAAATCTATTTCCACTTGGTACAAGATGACTGATAAACAGGAATTGATAGACTTACAAAATAAGTGCAAAGCAAAACCTTTTTGATAACAACTGCAGCAGTGTGAATATGATCGATATTGTCCAATCTTTTAACAAAGATAGTAATAGAATGAGTGAGTTATTATTGATTAACGCCTATCTTCAGACTTGCAGCTATTCAGGGACATGTAATTGCCAGAATTACTACAGCTAAAAGTAAATAGGCTACTTAGCATTTGATAAGAATATTTTGGAGCACCCAGGTGGGGACTAACCGTGGCATTTGTTGGGAGATGTTGTCGTACTAATAGTATTCGATATCAGTTTCAACATAAAACATCGCCAAAACTATTTCCATAATGTTTTTCTCAGAGCTTTGTCACAGATCAAACTATCTCCAAATCCCAATAAAAAAGGTAAGAAATATACATCGTCAAAAACATTTCCCTCATCAACTTGAAAATTAGTTGTCCTCTATATCTTTTCTCTTAATCACTGTTTATTCACATATCAGAGTAACGAGGCAAAACAAACGGGACTAATTTACCTTCACTTGACTAAAAGGCTTTCAGCGGATGTCATTGTCCTGCAGACTTTAATGATGTGATCAATGGCTGGCTATTAATTACAACCTGAACAAACAATGGACTGAATAACCTATAGACATTTGTCATCATCCAATTACTGCTGAACAAACACTTTACACGCTTTCCAGGAAGTGACACCCAGTTCAATTGAAGCAGGAGCTAATTTCAGGGCATTAATTATAGGACAAGTATATTCATTCCAAATAGGTTTATTCTTAAACCATTGGCAACATGTTTCAAAATTGTGGAGACAATACATTTTATATATATTTTTTTTAAATATATCATGGTCATTTTTTACTTTAAAAGATGACCAAGCTATTATAACATCTTAAATGAGATAGAATTACAAGCCGTTCTTGGTCAAAGAAGAATTTCAGCCCACTGAAAATGTTGATTTTAATGTTTTGGAAACCTACAAAATATTGGCACGAAAATGATCAGACATGTTCAAATGGCTGACATCTTGCATTACCTTTTTGGCTCTCTGACATGATCTCATATATATAAGCATGATAAGTATGGCTTCAGTAAATGAAAAAGGCAGATTTTCTTTTACACTTTAGATACAAATTGAGCTTGAGCACATCTGACCAAGATAAAGTTTTTACTTTTATACTGTTTTTTCCTTCATCGCCAGAAAACACCCGCCTTACAAAACAGGGACTAACCTACATTAGTCTATTTCCAAAAAATATTTAAAAAAGAATTTATAAAATCTTAGGCTTATTTTTCCTCATCACTGGTGTGTTCCAAATGCATTATGAACCTTTGGAAATATCTGATTAACTTTTGGAAATTTCTTTTTTAAAATATTACTTATTCATCATTACAGATGGTAATGTGGGTTACTGCATTATGTACGAAGGTATATACGTATATAGGTATGTAATGTTATATATGTAAATACAAATGTATTTATATACCTTTATCTTGTTACTGAAAGTAGTTTTGCAAATGAATGTCTTTAAGGCCCTGCAAGGCTCTGTGTGAAAAATAAGTCCAACATGTATGTTTATTTATATATATACATGACATTATAATAAACTATATCCTTATTATATTATTTATATAATTATTGTTATTAATTGTTATATATTGGGACCAGTGAAGATCCGGGTTAGAACAGGTCTTCAGCAACCCATTTCGGCGTAAAAGGCGACTATGTTAGTCTTAAGACGCGACTCACGGGATCGATTATGTACAGACCGACGTCATATAGCTGGAATATTGCTGAGTGCGGCTTTAAACAACAAACAAATGTTATATATTGGAGACTGCGCCAGCTGGTAATCCCACAATAGGCTTCTTACAGAACAGAGTATAGGGTTTAACATAATGCTAACACAACTAGCTTATACTTCACATGACGACAGATCACATGGTAAAGAAAATAAATAGGTCTTGTAGCAGATTACGTAAGCAAGACACATATTATCCTTGGATCTATGGGATATGAACCTAATCGGGATTAACCACCTCTCACACAGGTCTATGTTGAAATATTGCTTCTACACTGAGGGCTCTTGTCACAAGGAAACACAGTGTTTGAATTTTAACTCTTCTACGTAAAGTTCAATATAGACTTACAACAGTCTTAGCCCTAAATTCACTTTGTGAAGCCCTACAAGTATCGAAATGCAAACAAATTTGTTTCTTATTTTAACCATCTAAAAACTGGGAAGGTAGATTTTCATTTTTTTACTTCACAAGTGTAAAAAGTGGGTGAGTATGTGTACAATGATGGAAGACACTAAAATAAAAATAAAACTTTTTTCTAAGAGAGTGTTCCCGAGATTTATCTAGGCTGATCAAAAAGCAATATTTGGCCCCAAATCTGCAGCAAATGTCAGCCGAACTTTCCAATTCATGTTTATACAGTTAGAACAAACTGCTTCATCAAGATGGCAACAAGGAAGAAGACACTTAATGCTTAGTTTCACACATCTATCATTGCTTTGAATGCAATGTTAAATATCTCTAAATCTTCCAATAACTCACTGACTACATGAAACCGTTTCCTTGGGACAAATTAGTCATTTATGAAACTACACGACATCAGTCTTGCAGACAATTCTTTTCTGGTTTTTTTTGTCAGACGACATTCTGATAATACATCATCTGGTATGAAATGATCGTCACGCAGACATGACAGGTCAACTTCATCAAACTATGATTGATGTCTTCATAGGCTAAGCTCGGCTTAATTCTGCAAATATACATCACTGTAGGACATTCTGTCACTGTCAGGCTACAATACCTACATTTGTTTCAGGTACTTAGCCAAACTCATTTGAAATATGGACAAGTGACTTAGTGAGTTGGGTTTAACGCCGCTTTTAACAGTATTCCAGTTATATCACGGCGTGTCAGCTTAATGTGGGAGGAAAGCCCGAAGTGATGTAGGTCTCAGACGTTTACCACTTCGGTGAAACCCACAAGCACGGTATGGTGATGACAAACCTAGAAATATTGTCTGGCGAACCGGGATTCAAACCCACAGCAAATTGTGAATTGCAGAGCCTTAGACGACTGGACCGATGCTCAAAAGAAAATAAATAAAAAACTGTATATGACATACCTTTTTTTGGGCCATTAAGCTTATGTCATGGATAAGTGTTTAAGTATAATGATAACCGAGTGTATATAAAGTAGAAATTTTCTTGAGTCTTCCAGAATATATTTTTTTCTTACAAAACCTTTCCGATATCTAGACGAGACAAACAATGTATGTGTAATTTGCCAATTCAAGCAACCATTGAATGCATGTCTATGCCATTATAGATCTTCCTTGGAAAATAACATTCCCTGTCAATAAAGGATGAATTGTCCTTCAAAACATAAAAGCACTTTCATATTCAGAACTTTCATCAAGTAGGCAGTCATCTTAAAATCTTCATTTTAAAGCAGGGTTAAAAGGTTCAGTGAATCGAAACGTGGAAGATTCAATTAAAAGCCTTTATAGTTGTATGAGTCATACATGCGAGTATCGCCATCTGCTCTACAAGTTATCTGAGGTATTTGTCTGGATAGTACATGCAGTTTCAACATCGGTACTGAATTATTTATTTATGTTTAAACTATTAAACAGACTTAGACATGCATGGAAGAGCACGCTCAAACGGGAAACTAACCCTGTCTGTGTAACCGGAGAAATAATACCTAAATATGACAAAGCGAATCAAGATGTTACAATCATTACCGGTTAGGTCATGTTTTCTACTGTCATTTTGCGCAGAAGTAGAAAGGAATTGCTAAATTTACTTGCTAAATTTACCAACTAGGTGGTGAAGTGTCACATGATGTTCTCAAACATGTACAGACATTAACTTGTTATGAAACTTGCAACAATAATTTAATATGTCAATCTTGCAGTTATAAATCTTCACGTATCTTCTATGCCATTGCTTTGACAACTAATGTTCAATGTAATAACCTTTTGAATAATACGACGATGAATCATTCGGAATGTCGCAGAGATAAGAGGACGCACATTGTTGACAGGAGCACGCTACAATGCAGTTCTAGAAATATCAGCAACTTCAATGAGACGAAGTTCAACTAAGTGTTGCAATGTAAAAGCAAGTAAGGCAAAATTATGACACAATGCAAAAATGATCGTTTAGCGTTGTCAAAATCATGACAATTTCTTTTGTTAGCGTGATCTTCCAAATTAAATCAAATGCTTACCTTACGAACTGTCTTATTCGCCCTGGATCCTCGGCAATAAAATACATAATCTTTTCATGAACACTCTCCAATTTTGAATCGTTGAACTTATCTTTGCGGTACGAAGCGCAATCGAAAGTTTGAATCTGTGTAGCGCTGAGGCTCTCTCGGATATAATAGCCGAGGCAAAATCCCAACAGAAACAATATGACGACGGTAACAACTGCCAACACACACGTCCAAAGACTGACACATCGTGGTCGTTTGGAGGGAATACTTTCTGTCGAAGGGTAATCTAATAAGGCATCGCTTCCCGTCTCGTCAATATCGGCGTTCCAAGAGCGATATCGCCTGTAAGACCGATCGGGAGTCGCCATGTTGAGCGTTCACCTACTACCTGTATTGTGAGCGGACTCTTCCTTGGGCGCGTTATGCCCGGCTAATAAAAGCCACCTGCCGCTGATAGCTGAGCGTTCAGGTGTCATTCAACTGACTTCCGTCGTCTGTCACCAGGCGCTTGCGCTCACTCACTGAGTGACATAAGTTGCTAAGCTAGTAGTTCACGGGGATATTATGTCATGAAGTCCTATGATATTGCTCGACAAGTGGTACATATTTGTAGCTGATTACCGGTAATTTGCTATTGGCCGAGTTTACATTGGACGTGCTGTGATCGTGATTTCATACCACGCGAATTACTGTGTTGAGGAAATGGACAAGCGAATGGCCGTCGTATACCTGTATAAAAATTGAACATTGTCACTCAAATTAAGTTATAGAGATGTCACCGTTTCCCCGTGTCGTGTTTCAGTGGAATTTATATGACAACCACTGCAGATAGATATCGCAATTAACTAAAAACTGCAGTAGACCGTTAAAATTGTTGTCTGTGATTTTGGAGCTAAGGTCTACCGACTACCCTATCCTAATCTCCGATTCGGGGGCAGAATGGGCCCCCAGCACCCCATGCTTGTCTCCCCGGGGATTCAGGGGACATAATGGGTCCCCAGCACCCCATGCTTGTCTCCCCGGGGGATTCAGGGACATAATGGGTCCCCAGCACCCCATGCTTGTCACCCCGGGGGATTCAGGGACATAATGGGTCCCCAGCACCCCATGCTTGTCTCCCCGGGGGATTCAGGGACATAATGGGTCCCCAGCACCCCATGCTTGTCTCCCCGGGGGATTCAGGGACATAATGGGTCCCCAGCCCCCGATGCTTGTCTCCCCGGGGGATTCAGGGACAGAATGGGTCCCCTGCACCCAATGGTTGTCTCCCCGGGGGATTCAGGGACAGAATGGGTCCCCAGCACCCCATGCTTGTCTCCCCGGGGGATTCAGGGACAGAATGGGTCCCCTGCACCCAATGGTTGTCTCCCCGGGGGATTCAGGGACATAATGGGCCCCCAGCACCCCATGCTTGTCACCCCGGGGGATTCAGGGACAGAATGGGCCCCCTGCACCCCATGCTTGTCACCCCGGGGGATTCAGGGACAGAATGGGCCCCCTGCACCCCATGGTTGTCACCCCGGGGGATTCAGGGACATAATGAGTCCCCTGCACCCCATGCTTGTCTCCCCGGGGGATTCAGAAACATAATGGGTCCCCGGCACCCCATGGGACGGCCCAGTCATCATAAGTGCCGCATGTCGCTTTGCAGAGTTGCGTCCCTTGGGCACGCCAGAAACCTATGATTGTGGGTTCGAATCCCGGTTCGCCTTGTGGGTTTCAACAAAGTGGTAAACGTCTGAGACCAGTGCCGTAGCCAGCCGGGGGGCAGGGAGGGCAGTTGCCCCCCTAGATTTGTTTTTATATAGAAAACAGTTTTATTTGAATCAAGTTGGGAACAAGTGATACATGTACAAATATTTGCCCCCCCCCCCCCCCCCCCCCCCCGCTGTCAAAAAGAGTTAACTACGGCCTTGGAGACCTGCATCACTTCGGGGTTTCCTCCCACATTAAACTTACACGCCGAGATATAACTGTAACTGGAATACTGTTTGAAGCGGCGTTAAACCTCACTTACTCACACTACAATGTATGGCCTGAGCATGTCATCGTGTCCCGAATGCATTGGTCGTTGGTCATGCAGACAACTTTACTTTAACTAACGTGGCATTTATAGTTTTGTTTATTCAGCGGTGTACAACACTCACTAACTCACTCCACTCGTGAAGATCCGGGTTTGAATAGGTCTTCAGCAACCCATGCTTGTCGTAAAAGCGACTAACAGGATCGGGTGGTCAGGCTCGCTGACTTGGTTGATGCATGTCATTGTATCCCAATTGCGTAGATCGATGCTCATGATGCCAATTACTAGATTGTGTGGTCCAGACTCGATTATTTACAGACCGCCGTCATATAGCTGGAATATTGCGGCATTAAACAACAAACAACTATACGCGTAATCACCACGGGGGAAGCTCACGATATAGGTAGGGTCCTGGCAAACATTATCGTCTTTTAGAGGAAATACGGTATCCAGTATGGCTCAACATATCTTGACCGGGTATGTTCTACCCGGATCACCCCGATTTTATTTTTTCTCTCGTTGCAGTGATTTAATGTTTGTTTGTTTGTTGTTTAACGCCGTACTCAGCAATATTACAGCTATTTGAAGGCGGTCTGTAAATAATCGAGTCTGGACCAGATAAACCAGTGATTGACATCATGAGCATCGATCCACGCAATTGGGATACGATGACATAGTTATTTAATGTCGCAGTGGTGTGTTCAACAAAAATACCTTTTTATTAATCATACATTGCAAGCAAATGAAATCCGGTCAGGTATTTAAAGTCGATATAGCCTTGCGACCTGACGTAATTCTAGCCTTGCGACCTGACGTAATTCTAGCCTTGCGACCTGACGTAGCTCTCTTCTAAATACTACATACAGATTCTGTCACAGGAGTCTCAATGTTTCCGAATATATCAATCAACGGTCAATCGATAATTTCAAACAAAACTACTGCTCATATACCCAAGTTTGTTTGTTTGTTGTTTAACGCAACACTTAGCAATATTCCAGCTATATGACTGCGGTCTGTAAATAATCGAGTCTGGACCAGACAATCCAGTGATTGACATCATGAGCATCGATCCACGCAACTAGGATACGATGACATGCATCAACCAAGTAGCGAGCCTGACCACCCGATCCCGTAAGTCGCCTTTTATACGACAAGCATGGGTTGCTGAAGGCCTATATTCTACCCCGGATCATCACGGGTCTCATACCTTATTGAATAAGGTGATAGTTTGTTTGCATGCAAACTACGTGATCTAGACTACTAGATGTCGGACTTCTATTTTGCGGAAGCCTCGGTGACTGAGTGGGTTAGATCGCAGACTTTGTGTGCTGGCGATTAGGTGCCTCACTCTGGCAGTGAGGACAGTGATGACGCTGGGACTCAACCCAAAAAACTTTTGTTACATTTGCGGTTCGTCGTTCAGGTAATTAATCAACCGTCGACTGCAGAGGGGAGTGAATGCGTTGGTTTTAACACACTATAACGGTGTCTCAGTAACAAGAGGGGGCACGGGTGGCCCAGTCGTCTTAAGCACCGCCATTCGCTTTGCAGAGTTGCGTCCCTTGGTCACGCCAGAAACCTATGATTGTGGGTTCGAATCCCGGTTCGCCCCGATTATGTTTCTAGGTTTGTCAGCACCATACCCGTGCTCGTGGGTTTCACCGAAGTAGTAAACGTCTGAGACCTGCATCAACTCGGGCTTTCCTCCCACATTAAGCTGACACGCCGCGATATAACTGGAACTGTTAAAAGCGGCGTTAAACCCAACTCACTCACTCACTCACTCAGTAACAAGAACAACACGGCGTGTGAACTCAGCGTTGTAGGAATGGCACAGGTGCGCACGTTTCCCACCTCAGTGAAGCCATGCATGTCCGCGGATCCTGGCACACTTGAGGGACAAAACTCTGCACGTTGAATAATGGCGCCTTACACCACCATGCATCCACAGCATGGTGGTGGGGGGTCACACAATGTATACACGTCACGAATCAAAACCGGGAACTTAGCTGACGAGCCAACGCAACTGTGTTTACTAAACAAACATATTTCTTAAATGTTTCTCTTTACATGTAGAAGCAGAATTTCTGTACGCAGAAGACGTAATTCAGAATTAACATTGTTTTTAGCTTCAACATAATCAGCAAATGCACTGTCGTATCACTGGTTTATCTGGCTCATCACAGGATTGTCAGGTCATGCTGCCGTGAAGATCCAGGGTAGGATAGGCAGCACAAGGCTACCCTTACGAACCCTATAGCCTGAAACATGCTCAAAGCGCTAAGTGATTACCCCATGGATCAGTGTGATCCTATTTCATTCTCATCTCCATGGGGAGTATACTCCCGAGGCTGTCTGTGAGGCGCAAGAAGGTTAACAGTCATCTCATCCTAACGGGTACCCTTTCACTGCTGGGCGAAGAGAGGCATATTTCGAATAAAGTCACTTACCTAGATACATCACATGTGTGTTAATGATACGAGAGGATAGAGTGAGTGAGTGAGTGAGTTGGGTTTAACGCCGCTTTTAACAGTATTCCAGTTATATCACGGCGTGTCAGCTTAATGTGGGAGGAATGCCTGAAGTGATGCAGGTCTCAGACGTTTACCACTTCGGTGAAACCCACGAGCACGGGTATGGTGCTGACAAACCTAGAAACATAATCGGGGCGAACCGGGATTCGAACCCACAATCATAGGTTTCTGGCGTGACCAAGGGACGCAACTCTGCACAGCGATTCGCGGCGCCTTAGACGAGTGGGCCACCCGTGCCCCCGATACGAGAGGATAAGCACCAGGTCAACTTACCTCCCTTCTTCGTCACCAACAGACCTGAGCTAAGGGATCTACCCGTGAAGACCCGGGGTAGAATAGATCTTCAACAACCCATGCTTGCCGTAAAAGGCGAGTATGCTTGTTGTAAGAGGCGGCTAACGGGGTCGGGTGGTCAGGCTCGCTGACTTGGTTGAAGCATGTCATCGATCCCAATTTGACGTCACATCCGGCTCATGATATTAATCACTGGACTGTCTGGTCCAGACTCGATTATTTACAGACCGCCGTCATATAGCGTCGTAAAACAATCTAATTAAAATCAGATCTTAGTTCTCGCTACCGCTTAACAAAGATCTCAGGACATCCCATTAGGGGTCACGTCTGAACGGCCTTTCATCCGACCAATCAGAGCGTCGGTTACCAGATCATGAAAGTGACAGTCGGAATGTGATTTCTAATCATGCAGCCTCGAAAACGTTAAAACGGGGTATTCCGAACGATAGTTACGGGCTTAACGACTGAATCTATACAATTTAGACCATATATTAGCCATTCTAGAACTTTCTTTTGTTCAGTTTCAAATTTTTAAGCGAGAATTTGTCAAAATATGTTTCGAAGCGTTGTCGCCAATTTGAAATTAGTGCCGTAAAGCACAAGAAAGCTGCCTCCTGATTGG